TGTGTGGAGGCTTCAGAGAAAAGGTGGGAGAGCTGAAGCTGCGAGGCTAAAGTAAACAAGAAAAATATCTATTCCACAAAGTGGAGCTCAAACTCCCACAAGCAATGGCACACATGGTTTGAGAAAAAAAAGGGGAAAAAGTTTATTTTTTTCCCCTGCTCTCCCCCCCCCCCACTCCCCTAAACTCCCCTAGCTCAAATCGAGAACACACAATGCAAAAAGGGAGAAGCAGCTGCAAGCCTCCTCCAATTATTGTGCTAAATTACCAAGCCAAAGGCGTTTAAAAAGAGAGAGAGAGGGAGAGAGAGAGACAACAGATCGAGAGAGAGAGAGAGAACATGCAATTCTAGTACAACACGGATCCGAACTCACCATGGCGGAATAGGTGTGGACTAACATCTGGAAATAAAAAAAGTCTTGTAATAGCTAAAAATAAAATAATGGTGATAATAGAAATAATTGGAGGGAAAAATATCAAGGAGATCTGCAAAGGGACGTGTTGGACACAGGAGAACAGCTTGAGCTATTTCGAAGTCTATCCATCAAAAAAAAAAAAAAAAAAAAAAAAAAAAAAAAAAAAAAAAAAAAAAAAAGACCAATGCCCCAAAAGCCGAGCCTGGAAACCTCTATCTACATATATGATTTACCCCTCCCTCTCTTTTCCTTTTTTTTTTCCCCTTTTTTTTTTTTTTTTTTTCCCTTTGAGCTCCCAAATAAAATCCTCTTAAACCCAAGGCTAGGCTCAGACTGCTCCGCTACCCCTTCCTCCCTTTCCTTCTCTACACCGCCTCATAATAATTGATATTCATGACTATTAATATTACACGACTACTTTAAAGGGAGAATGCAGGACCAAATGGAGCGTGAAGCTGGCAGCCAGCTCGAGAGCTCCCCTACTATTGTAAATGACGTTCATTCAGTGGAGAATTACTAGATGTAATCAGACGAGGGGGGCTGGCAGAGGCAGAGTTTGGGGAGAGGGAGAGGGGGGAAAAAGTTTAGCAGGGAAGAGGCATAACTTCGATTAACTCGAGCGGAGGAAGATGCGGAAAGTAGACACTGCTGAGCTGGAGCAAGGAAGTGAGATGAAGCAATGCTAGAGGCGAAGAAGAAGAAAAAAACATTTCCTTTTTTTTTTTTTTACATTTAATTATACATTCCTAATACGAGGAATTGATTGCCTTTGGTGCTTTTGTTCTTGTCGTTGGTTTTGGTTTTTTTTTTTGAACAAATAATGAGGAAAAAGAGGCTTTTCTAATCTTTTTTTTTTCTTCTTTTTAAAGAAATGGAAGAAGAAATGTGCAGTCACTATAATATATGTCTATTTACAGCGGAGATTCAGCCTTTCTGGTGCATGTTACAGACCGTATGTATTCGCGATAGCCAAATAAATTACTTAATCTGCGTTAAGTTGGGTTCCACTTTGTTTCTGAATCCTGTTCCTCCCGCCCGGTACGGGAAAAAAAAAAATACGTGTGTATATATATATCCCGATTTTCACCCAAATGTAAAATGTACGCAGTGAATTTTAAAGGATAGTAAATTTATAGTTTCGAGGCAAAGCCAGGGGCGATATAAAACCTTTTTGATGTTGCAGGAACCCGTTCAACTGGACTGTCTGCCATTTCTGTTAAAGTTCAACCTACGTTCCTTCCTAAATAGACTCACGCTTCCCAGAGCGGCCCCCCCGCGCACACACACACACACACACAGACACACAGACACACAGACACACTTTTGTTTTAAGAACAGATTCAGTTTAAGGGGCTGAGACGCCCCTACCATCTTGTTCTTAATTATAAGTCGGAAAGAAGAGAGAGAAACACTTTTTTTTTTTTTTTAAGATAAATCTAGAGGGTTTCAGCTCTTAAAAAAAAAAAATCAACAACAATATTTTTTCTTTTTTTTTTTTTTTTTTAAGGCTACACGTTACAAAAGGACTTGGGGCGCACCCCCAAGTTGGGGTATACCCTGCCCGCAGCCAAATCCCACCCAACCGCTCCCCCAACTCTGCTTCTCTCCCACGGCAATCCAGAAACACGAGTGTCCGTAAAACGCACAGCGGCTTAAAACTCCCCTTCAAAAGGAGGGTGGAAAAAAAAACCCAAAACAACAAAACCCAAATCCCCGACATTCCCCGACCTCGCTGGCCAGGGAGGGGAGATGTTTTGTCGCCTGCCGCTGCGGGCAGAGACAATGGCCGGGCTGTGCCTGGGGACGGGGAGGGAAAAGCAGCGAGGGCTCAGCGGGCTGGGGATGGCCGGCGGGACACACAGGGACACGCACACGGACCGGCACACACACACACGCACACACACAGACACACACACAGGCCGGGCTGTGCTCATTCTGCGTGTGCTGGGGTTTGGCAGTTGATAATTAGCCTGACGGCAGCTTTTGAGAGCGGAGACGTTTCTCCCGTGCGGCCGGCGGATACCCTCCCCGCTTCCCTCCATCCCGTCCTTGCTCCGGCCGTGAAAAGCCGGGGCCCCCGTGCCCTCCCTCTGCCTCTTTCTCCGCTTTTCTCGGGACTTTCCCC